TATATATATATATATATATATATTTTTACTTTAGACAAGGCCAAGTTTATTCTTATATTAAGTAACCCTTAGAACAATCACACATTAATATAATAAGGACTTACGTTACATAATAAGGAATACTATTTCAGTAGAGGAAACACAAATAAGGAAGTTAAGGAAAAGGAGAATAATAATTTAGAATGAACAAAAATTAAGCTCATTCTGTCAAAAGTATGGAATAATTCTTTATGGATCCCTGTAAGTGAGACTAGACAGCAAGTAACACTTTACCTAATTTTCTGATCAGTTTAGAGCTTTTCATGGAGTGTTCTAGAAGTCTTCCGAGTTGAATTGTGAATGAGGTATACTGAGAGTGTGTAGAGTGAGGGGAAGTGTTTCATGCTGTATACATATATGGTGCTTAAAGTCAGGGAAGGTTTTAGAAAATATTAACAAATGGCCTAAAGAGTATTCAGTTAATTCTGCCAAATACAGGGTGAATAATATGCAGGAATTCATTTTGGTCAAATGGATATCCTAGATTGAGATCAACTCTTTTCAAGTTGCTTGCAGATGTATTTCACAAAAGTTATATATTTTTAAATTGACAAAAATTGTATATGTTAATGGTGTACAAGGAAATTCTTTTTTTTAAAAAAAGATCCTTTGATATATGTATATACTGTGCAATGGCTAAATTGAGCTAATTAACATATGCAATACCGCATATACTATTTTTTTGTAGTAACAATGCTTAGAATCTACTTTTTCTCTCTCTTTTCTTTACTTTGCCAAAAGGTGCATGTGCTTGCCAGAGAGAGAAAGAGAGAGAGAAAACATCTCCCATGAGGCACAGTCACACTGCAATCCCTTCTCCATTTATCCCTCTCTTCAGGATTTTGGGTACACACACATGCACCTGGTGTTTTTTTAAGCTGTCAGGTCTGGGACTTGAACTGTGCAGTGAGTTATGTGAGATCTGGCTCGTTAACCACAAAGCCATGGGCTAGCCCCCAAATCTACTTTCTTTTAGCAATTTTCAAGTATATAATACTTTGTTGTTAATTATAATACTAATATACTATAGATCTCTTGAATTCATTCCTCCTGTCTAAATAAAATTTCATATTCTTTTATCTACAGCTCCCCAATTCCATTCCTCTGATTCTATCCCCAGCTCTTGGTAACCTCCATTCTACTCTCTGCTTCTAAGCAGTCATCTTTTTAAAATTCCTCACATAAGTGAGATCATGTGGTATTTGTCTTTCTGTTCCTGGCTTATTTCACTTAACATAACATTCTCCAGTTTCATCTATATTGTTGCAAATAATGTCTTTTTAAAAGCTGGATAGTATCCTCATATATATATATACATATACACACACACACACCACATTTTCTTATCCATTCACCTGGTGATGTACACTTGGGTTGATTCCATATTGTGGCTATGAACAGTGCTGTCTCAAACATGGGAGTGCAGATACCTTTTTGACATGCTGATATAAATTCTTTTGAAAATATACTCAGAAGTGGGATTGCTGGGTCATATGGTAGTTCTATTTTTAAAGTTTTTGGGAGCTTCCATACATTCTCCATAATGACTACACTAATTTACAGTTCTACCAACAGTGTACTGGGAAAAACCTGGAGATTTCAAAATCATACCCAAGCCAGAATAGCATCTGTAAGAGAAAGGACTATGGAGAAAGGTTGAGGACAGGTGTAAGACCAAGGGTCAGAATGCTTCTTCCATGATGCTACCAACAAGGAAAAGGAGCAGCAGTCACCCTGCGTGCACCCTCAAGGATTCTGATAAGAAAGTAATTTTTTTAGTTCTACAAAATGTTATGTATGTTTGTTTTGAGACTCGCAGCATTTATTTCTCTCTCTCTAGAACTCTGAACATCTCTCAGCTTACTCCCCAACAATAAAGGAGAGGCTGAAACTTGAGAAACAGATCAAATAGGAAGTGAATGGTTATAGAAATAGTAAGAATAAGGACATTTATTATTATATTTTAAGAAATTTCAGCACAATCAGCTATCCATTCATCGTTAAGTTGGTAAATGTTGAGATAAGGCAGTTTCCAATGGAGTCACAGAATTTAAGACCACAGTGACATAGTAGAAGAAACACAAAGCAGGAATTGAAGATTCAATCAAGGTAGAAAATTGGAGCCATAAGTATAAAAGAAGGGTACATTTCCCTAACTTACTCGAGAGTTCCTAAAGATAAGATTGATGCTAGAAGTGTACATTCCCTACCCTATACATAGAATGAGGTTATCTCAGCAAACCTGAGGGTTCAGGGACCTCTTTGAGAGAAGGAGATGGTTTTTCAGGCAAAGGGCCTAGATGTGCAATTGCTTCAGAACTTTTAAGTTGTGCTGTGTGATTGAAGTGAAGTATGAGCAGAGAAATGGCAAGGAGGCTGGAAAGTTTACTGTGGTAAAGTCGTGAAAACAAATGGAGAGTCTTTGAGAGAGAGAAAACAGAATGGACTGGAAGGAAGCATGACTGGTAGTAGGGAGGTTAGTGAGAGGCTACTACAGTCATGCAGGCAATAGATGGTATATTTTTTCTTTGTTCATAATAGGGCATGTGTGTGTGCACGAGAGAGAAAGAGAAAGAAGCGAAGCACCCTCCACAGATTCCGGTCACACCACTGTCCCCTCCAGCTCTCTAGCTCTCTGAGTACTTGCATGCATGCCCAGCATGTTCCAGGCTGACTAGGCTTGGGGTCTGAATTACAGTCGCCATGTGGGATCCAGCTTCTCTTGGATAGCTCATTACTGTTGCACCACAGAGCTGGGCCCAGGTTGCCTGTTTATAGGCAGAGAGGAGAGAGACAGATGAAATTAATTATGTCAAAAGGAATTATTAAAGAACTGATTCCTTAAGAGGTAGGTGATGATGAGGTCAAGAACAGTAAATTTGGAAGAGTTGTGAAGAATCTCTTTAATTAAAAAGACTAAAGAAAATGGGTATGAGTGAACAGGAAGAGATGACAGATTGGAGATAATAGAAAACAAGAAATATTTTAAATGCATGGGTGCATATTATTGCTTTAAAAATCATGATTTCAGAAACATACTGGTTTAGTGTTTCAGCTCCTACTTTCAGTTGGACTTAGCAGAGGAAGCCCAGTGTGTACTCCCTTCTTCACCCTTGTATTCCTGGTGCCTATGATAGTGCCTGGAAATACGCTGTGACCAACACATTTTTTGGTTGCGTAAATCAATACACGGTCTTTTTAATTCAAAGTCAGAGGTGTACAGAGACCATCTAGCCATATTGCTAAAGAATTATAACAAGAGAAACTATCCTCCACTGCAGTTAGATAATTTTTTTGAATAACAAAGAAGGTAAAAGAAATGAAAAAGTAGTTTTATAACACAGGACCAGTGGGTAAGTCACATGCTAAACTCAGCAAAGAATAACAAAAATTTCAATGAACAAACAAACAAGCAAACAAGTCAACCAACCCCAAACTATCTCCCCTTGTCCCATGTCTCTCCTTAATACTGTTTTTATTTTCTTGTTATTGGCCAGAAGGCATGTCCACTCACTGGAAAGAGATAGAGACACACGAGAAAAATGGAAAGTGAGAAAGCGCATCCCCATGAGGCATGCTTACGCAGTAATCCCTTCTCCCTCTTTTTGGGATTTGTGCATGCATGCATACTCAGCCGATGTGTTTTTTCAAGCTACTATGTCTGGAACTCAACCCACACAGTCGGCTATGTGGGATCCTGCTGCTTTAACTACCAGGCTACAGGCTGGCCCTCCAGATAAAATCTTTTTCTTTCTTTCTTCTTTTTTTTTCAAATAACTATCTAATTTATTATTATCATTTTTAATGTGATCAAAGAGAGAGAGAGGGAAAGTGGAAAAGCAAATTGCCAAGTCCAGGGCTCCAGCGTGGCTGACCATGTGAGAGTCCAGCGCCTTAGCCACCATGCCACCTGCTGGCCCCTCGGGTACAGTCTTAACAAATCATCTCTTTTCTTCATCTTTTAGGTCTCTGAAAGGAGAATGTGGGCCATGTACCGGTCATTGGAATTACCTGTGAGCTTGCTAGAAATACAGAATCCCAGAATTCACCCTAGACTTGAATTAAAATATGCACTTTTATTTATTTTATCTTTAGGTTTTTGCCACAGGGCATGTGCACTCACTGGAGAGAGACAGAGAGAAAGAGAGGGTAAGTGAGAAATCACCCCCTCCTCCATTCTTCTCACCGGATTTTGGGTATAAATGCACACACACCCAGAGACATTTTCAAGTCACGAGGTCTGAGATTTGAACTGTGGTCGGCCATGTGGGAATCGAGTGCCTTAACCACCATCTGCTGGCCCCCAAATTTGCATTTTAAGAAGACATCTGGGTAACACACACACTTTCAAGTTTTAGAAGCACTGTTCGAGGTGTTAAAAGATAAGGCTCATTTCTGAGGCTTTTACACACAGGCTAACAAAAATATGTTGAAATATTCACTGTATAAGCTAAATAGCATGACTGAATGTGTAAAAGAAATAAAATATAGTAAAAAACTATACCTCTAATAAGACAATAGAATTACTGAAAATAACACTTTACCATTAAATGTCAAATGAGGCATCAGCTTCTTCCTTTCTCCTTCTGTGAGCTCAATCCCCTCACTTGCCAGAAAATTGTCTAGGTTCTGGACATCAATCACCTCTCCTTAGAAAAGGTGAGAAATAGATAGCAGAAATAGAACTATTTACAAAGGCTGAAGAACGTTATCTATGCTTACATATACCATCACCCATGTAGACCCTTGATTAATAGGAGGGTTAGAAAAAAAATGACATGTTTTTATTCTGGTTCAGAGAATCAGAAGGTGGTTACAAGGAAGACGGTATACCAGGAGTTAGGAACTGACTGGAGGGTTGTTGCCAAACCCATAGCAAATTAAGCTACACATAGGAACTTTGATTTGATTTTTTTCTTTTCCTTTTAGCTCACCTAAAAACTCAAGTTTTTTTTTCTACAGGCCAGTTTTTAAATTAAAAAAAAATTTTTTTTGAGAGGTTTTTGCTATAGGGCGCGTGCGCTTGCCAGACAGACAGAGAGAGACAGAGAGACAGAAAGCAAGCAATCACCCCCCCACGGGAGATGGCCACGTTGCAATCCCTTCTCCTCCATTCTCCTCTTGGGATCTTGGGCACGCACGCACATGTGTCCATAAATTTTAAATTTTTTGAAGAATTATTTTATTTAACTTTATTTATTTATTTAATTTATTTTAATTTGACCAGAGAGGGACAGAGAGAGAGAGAGAAAAAAAAATGAAAAAGCAAGCTGCCAGGTCCAGGACTTGAACTGTGGTCAGTCATGTGGGAATCCAGTTCCTTAACCACCACACCACCTGCCGGCCTCTTATATTTTTATTTGTTTCAAAATACTGGGTCGTCAGAAAAGTCATGAGGCACTTTTGCATGGAAAAAATATATTATGACTTTTCTGTTCCCAATATATTTGCTTTTCTGGTTATTGTATGTTCTAATAATATGTTCATCTTAACAAAATCAGAATGATTTTCTTCTATTCAAAAAATAATGTAACAGCATTGAAGATTAATGTAAAAGGGAAAATAAATATAATTTTAACTTCCAGCCACTAAAACCAACTGTAGTTTTTCATATTCCATTCTGGTCTTTGACAATAAGACTATATTTTTACAATGTACAAATCTAATATACACACAATTTTGTATTATGTTTTTCTAACCTAAAGTCATTCCTTCATAAACAATTTTCCAAGTTGCCAGATAATCTTCAACACATGATATCATATTAATCTGGTGAGATAATTCTAATCTGTTTAAATTTTCTCATCACTGTGAGAATGTCCATCTTTAGGCAGAGATTTTATTTCTTTTATTCAGTAAAATTATTTCCACAAGAGCAATTTCTCAGTTAATGAAGAAAAGAGTATGAATAGTCCTGTCGTTCTTGATATCTGTTACTATATCAAAGAGCTTTCATGGAGAAATTTTCAGAGATTATTACAGGCATAAATATATATATATGGATTAGTTAATGATTACTCAAGTTCAGCAGCACCCACAAAAATAGAACTTATGTTATACAAAAGAATTCAAATATTTATGAAAGGAAGACATTTTTCTCTACTATTAATAGCAAAGTAGTGAGATGCTATTTATAACACCTTTCCACTATAGCTTGTAACTCACCCATGATGTAACTAACAGCATCCATCAGATCATTCAGATCAACTGTTCTATCACCTATAAGGCAAGGAAAATATATTTCAGAATTAGATAAGTTGATGTTACTCAGAGTCAAAAATTTTATGCTGTATTAAGTTCTAAAATCATGAAAATCCATTACTCATTTTCCTAAGGAGTCTATGGACTCATGCTTAGAGACAACTGTGTTATCATTGAAACAAAGAAAGCTTTCAGTCTAGAATAAATCATTACTGTATATTCCTTTTTTTCTTTTAGAGATGACCAGAATGGTCTAAATTAAAAAACAATTGTAGGCCAGCCTTGTTGTCTAGTGGTTAAGGGAGTCAGATCCTACATGGCCTATATAGTTTGAATCCTGGTCCTGGCAGTTTGAAAAACACAGTAGACACATGTGCATGCCCCAGACCCTGAGAGGATGGAGAAATGGAGACAGGATTGTGGCATGGCCCATTGAAGGGTGCTTTCTCTCACTCTCTCTGTCTTTTTCTGGCAAGTGCATGAAGGCTTTGGCAATTAAAAATAATTAAGTAAGGGACCAGCAGTTAGCATAATGGCTATGTCGCTGGACTCCCATGTAGTCGACCGTGGTTCGTGTCCTGGACCCGGTGACTTAAAACTCATGCCAGGCGTGTGTGCGTGCATGCCGAAGATCCCAAGAGGAGAATGGAGGAGAAGGGATTGCAGTGTGACCATCCCCCCTGGTGGGTGATTTCTTGCTTTCTGTCTCTCTGTCTCTCTCTGTCTGGCGAGCGCATGCACCCTATAGCAAAAAAACCTCTCAAAAAAAATAAAATAAAGAAGTGATTGGTTACAATAACATGCAGGGAGATAAGATAAATAAACCCAACTCTACATATATACATACATATATTTTTTTCAATTGAGAGAGATTTTTGCTATAGGGTGCATGCGCTCGCCAGACAGAGAGAGACAGAGAGACAGAAAGCAAGAAATCACCCACCAGGGGGGATGGTCACACTGCAATCCCTTCTCCTCCATTCTCCTCTTGGGATTTTGGGCATGTGCGCACACATGCCTGGCATGAGTTTAAGCCACAAGGGTCTGGGACTCAAACTGTGGTCAACTACATGGGAGTCTAGCGACAAAACCATTATGCCAACTGTGGGTCCCCATATAAATTTTTTTAGAGAGATTTTTGCTATAGGGCATGTGCACTTGCCAGGGAGACAAAGAGAGACAGAGAGACATAAAGCAAGAAATTATTCCTGGAGAAGCTGGACATGCCGCAATCCCTTCTCCTCCATTTTCCTCTCAGGATGTTGGGCATGCACACACATGTACCTGGTGTGAGTTTTAAGCCACTGGGGCTGGGACTTGAATAATGGTCAACTATGTGTGAGTCCAGTGATGTAACTATTTTGCCATCTGCTGGTCCCGACCCTACATATTTTTATTTGGTCAGTTAATCAATTGCTCCATATTTATGGAGCACCTTCTACGTGTGAGAAACTTTGCTGGGCTTTGGAGATAAGTCAGTAATCAAGCTACTCTCAAGCAGTGTACAAAATAGTGGAGGAAGACTGACAATAAACATAAACGGAAAGGATCATCTGAGGTACTGTTAGAATGCTATCAAAGACAATAGGGCACTATAATGAAGGATGGGATTGCTTAGACAAGGAGATTAGGAAAGGCCTTTCTGAGAAGGGTTGAGGCTTGAATATTAAGAGGGTAGCCATGTTAACAATTAGAGAAGAGGGACCAGCAGATGATATAATGGCTATGTCTCTGGACTCCCACGTAGTCGACCATGGTTTGAGTCTTGGCCCTGGTAGCTTAAACTCAAGTTAGGCATGTGTGTGTGCATCCCTCAAGTCTCCAGAGGAGACTGGAGGAGAAGGGATTGCAGCATGGCCATCACCCAGAGGGTGATTTTTTGCTTTCTGGCTCTGTCTCTCTGGTGAGTACACGTGCCCTATAGCAAAAGTCTCTCTCTCTCAAAGAAAAAAAAAGTTAGCAAAGAAACACTCCAAGTAGAAAAGAGTATGTATAATATTTTTGAGATGCAATTTGATTAAAAGATATAGAGAAGGCCCTTGTGACAGGGGCCAAATCATGCAGATCTGCGTGCCATGATGATAAAGTTTAGATTTTATTTTGTTTGCATGGAATGTTATTGGAAGCCTTGAAGAAGCTCATTTCAGCCACAGCTTGGGAGACTAAGGGGCCTGTGTTTCGGTTCCTGGGCCAACCCGAACATGCTGAGCACAAGTGTGTATGCTTATAATTCTAATTGGGAGTCCATGTCAGGAGGATTGTGACATCGTGAGACCCTGTTAAAAATATCTACCTCTGGGGACTAGCAGATGACATAATGGTTACATTGCTGGACTTCCACATTGCTGACCGTGGTTTGAGTCCTGGACCCAGTGGCTTAAAATTGACACTGGGGACATGTGCATGTATGCCCAAAGTCCTGAGAACAGAACGGAAGAGAAGGGATTTAGTCATGACCATCCCCCCTGGGGAGTGATTTCTCACTTTCTGTCTCTCTGGCAAGTACACGCACACGCACACACCCTATAGCAAAAATCTCTCAAACAAACAAACAAACCTATCTCTGTCTCTCCCCCCTATCTTTCTCTCATTTAAAAAAGAAAAAAATGCAGAAAAAAGGAACAATATTACTTCAGCTAGTGTGTGCATGATGAGGAAATGGAAGGAATGGAGACTAGGTAGGAGACTCAGGCCCAGAAAACATGATGGTCACTTGTCTATGGCTGCAGCCGTGGAGATGGTGATAGGTAAATGGATTCAGGGTGTATTTTTCATTTGGAGCTCTAGATTTGAATGTGGATATGAGGGAAAGAAAAATCAAAGATGAAATCTAGTCTCCCCCCTCACCCCGTAGTCAACAGAGCAGACAGAATGTCTTTACTGAGATGGAGTGGGCTTGACACTTTTTAGGGGAATTAATCAGTATCTTCATTAAGTTGGTAATGCACTTTAGAAACCCAAGTGGAGATATCAAACAGCACTTTTTTTTTTTGACATATCCTAAGGGAGACTGAGCTAAAAGTATAAATTTATTCTGTCACTTTAGAGAAGGTGTCTAAGCCAGTGAAACTAAATGCAGTTTTCTAGAAAGAAGCTATAGATAAAACAAACCAAAAAACAGCCAAGGGGCTATCCCTAGAGCACTTCATTAGTCGGAGATGAGTCATAAAAGGGCAAGAAGAGTCAGAAAAGGAAACTGAGAGGGAGCTGTCAGTGAGAGAAGAAGATAAACAGGTAAATATTGGGCATCAAAAGTCTGCAGGAAGAAACATTTCAGTGAAGAGAGGGTAGTTAAATCAAATGCTGCCAAAATGTCAAGTAAAATAAGAATGAAGAATTGACTACGATCTTGACAAGAGGTAGGTCATCGATAATATTATTTATTTATTGTTAGAAGATACATACACTTGCCAGAAAGAAAGAGTGAAAGAGAGAGAGAGAGAGAGAGAGAGCGAGAGTGAGCGCACACTCCAATGGGGTGTGGTCACGCTACACTCTCTTCTCCATTTCTCCATCCTACTAGGATTGGGGGCAAGCATGCATGTGCAGCTGGCATTGTTTTCAAACTGTGGAGGCCAGGATTCAGAACGGGGTCCACCATGTGCTTTAACCACAGTGTTGTGGAGCCAGATCATTAAAAAAAATTTTTTTTTTCATTTATGATAAAACTAGGGGCATGAGAGAAAGAGAAAGAGAAGAGCATCTTCCACAGGACCTTGTCACATGGTGGTTCTCTTCCTCTAGTCCTTCAGACTGTCAGAACTTGGGTACTGGCATATATACTTTTTGTGTTTCAGACTGACATGGCGGTGGTGGTTGTTGAATAATGAAAAAATGGTAGGGTCAAAGGCACGAAGGTCTCCACATGACTGGAGAGTGGCCGGACTTCTACATTCTGTCACAGTGATGTGACAGATGTGTTGATTCACACTTTCCCCTAGGTAACAAAAGTAGAATATAAACTTCATCAAGAACAGAAAAAAACTCTGGATTGGCTACAGCAAAAACCTTTTCTGTTCAATTTTTTAAAAAGAATTATTCATTTTAATTATTTATCTATTATTACTATTTTTTCAATTTGACCAGAGAGAGAGAAAGGGAAAGTGAGAAAGCAAGCCGTGAAGTCCAGGACTCACACTGTGGTGGCCCATGTGGGAGTCCAGGGCCTTAACTATCACACCACCTGCTGGACCTCTGTTTAATTTTAATAAAATAAAAAAATCAGTACCTGCTATTCAGAAGGAAACAAATAGTGAACCTATAGAGCTCATAGCTCTACTTCCATTTGTTCTGGGGGTGTGGATTTGTGTGTGTGTGTGTGTTTTAATAGCTTCCGGCCATACTTTTCCATGCAAAAATGCATCATGACTTTTCCGACAACCCAGTATTTGCCTGGACTGTCCAACTTTGCTTATGTATTGGTAGCATCAGTTACTACTTTGTTGGTGTCCTGGTTACAAAGTGGCATAGATTTTGAGTGTGCTTCCAGAATTTCCCTCTTAAACTCAATTATTTTAGTGGGCACTTTTACAGAATAAAGTTTTTTCAGGGATTCCTACATTGTGTTATCATAGATAGGTCTGCATAGTAAGTGAACTGGAAGGATAAAGGTTAGAGAGTAGTATATGAAATTGACACTTTAGAGGTGATGACGTATTAGGCGAGGAAAAGGTCTAGGTTATTACTGTGTGTGGTAGCTACGGTGGATAGGAGGAAAAGATGGTTGAAGTTTAGGGGGTCCAAAACAGGAAGGGGCTCAAGGGTGTCTATGGATAACTTGTATCAGGAGTTCTTAACCTGGGGTCAACAGACCCTCTATTGATAGAATTCAGGGGTCCTAAAGCTTGAATGGCAAAAATACATCTTTATTTTCACTGACCAGTACCTAAGGTTGGCATTTTCTTCAATTACTAATGTAGGTAACAAACCATGGTAGTAGTAGCAGAACCTGTGATTTTGTTGCTAATGCAACAAAGACATTTTCATATCACACACTACAGTTGTTAACATTGAAATGTTACTTATGTTTACAGCTACTTAATAATGTTAATTATTTGACCTGCCACAAGGACTTGCTAAACGTTTTAGTAAATACTAATAATTTACATTTTAATTGACAATGATAATCTATGATAATTGACATTGTTTCTTTGTATTTCTATATATTTTATCTTATGCATTTAAAAACACACTCAGAAGTGGTTTATTCTTCAGATGTTCCAAGGGGTCCATGGCACAATAGTTGAAAGCTCCGGATCTATGTGGAAAATATTAAAGTGCCTAAGAGTAAAGGTAAGAGTGGTGCCAGCAGGTGGCATGGTGGTGAAGGCTATCCCAGATCTGGCGACTTGAAAATCATGCTGGATGCATGTGTTTATGGGCCTAAAATCCCAGGAGGAAAATAGAGAAGAGATCCCAGCATGGTTATTCTTCTCACTGTCTCTCTTTGTCTCTCCCCAGCCAACCCTGAAAGCAAAAATCTTAAAAAAAAAAAAAAAGAATAATGGGGGCCGGCAGATGGCGTGGTCGTTGAGGGCACTGGATTCCCACATGGGCGACTACAGTTTGAGTCCTTGACCTGGTGGCTTGTTTCTTACTTTCTCTCTCTCTCTCTCTCTGGTAAATTAAAATAAAAATGTATAAATAAATAAAGTTAAATAAATAATTCTTTAAAAAAAAGAATAAGAATAGGAGTAATTGAGAAGAAAGACAGTAAGCCTAATACTTTTCTGTAAATGTTTTAAATTTCATCTTGCCTAATTTATTTATATAAAAATCATAATTGAGAGTCCAGCAGTTGGCATAATGGCTATGTCGCTGGACTCCCATGTAGTCAACCATGGTTCGAGTCCCAGACCCAGTGGCTTAAACTCACGCTGGGCACATGTGTGTGCACACCCAAGATCCCGAGAGGAGAATGGAGAAGGGATTGCAGCGTGGCCATCCCCCCGGGGGGTGATTTCTCGCTTTCTGTCTCTCTGTCTCTCTCTGTCGTTCTGGTGAGCACACACGCACCCTATAGCAAAAACCTCTCCCCCCAAAAAATCATAATTGATAAGCAAATATTTACTGTTAGAATTGATAACTTTAAAAATATTCTCAAAACAGGCAAAATTGGTTCACAGATCTAGAATTTTTTTCTTCTGCTGTTCAACATCTTTTCCACCTTTTCCATGATTAACACAACTACCATCATTATTACTAACGTTTGCTGAGTATTTTAGACTGCATTACATGTTTCACATGCATTATCTATATTAGTTTCAGAACAAAAGTGATCATAGAGAATTATTTGGTTTAACTCTCCATTTTACATACAAAGAAACTAAGATTAAGGAGTATGAAATTACTTATCAGCAAGTTTGTGGAAGAACAGGGACCAGGACTCATCACAAAGAAAGTTTGTGCATTACAGATGAGGAACACAGCCTAGATTTCCCAGGAAAAAGAGATTTTTTTTTTTTTTTTTTTTGCCGGATGACTTTCCCAGTAGGACGTGGACCAATGCCAACTCTCATTGATATATATCAGTGAATCTCTTCCCCATTTTATCAAAAGAAATAGATAGTATTAATTTTTTAGCATTATTTTATTTAACTTTATTTACTTATTAAATTTGACCAGCGTGAGAGAGAGGGAAAGTGAGAAAGCAAGACACCAAGTCCAGGACTTGAATTGTGGTTGGCCATGTGGGAGTCTAGCACCCTCAACCACCATGCCACCTTCTGGCCCCAATATTATCAATCATTTTAACTTTTGCCAATCCAGTGAGTGAAAACAGTTCTGTTTGCTGTTTTATTTAGTACTTTCATGGTCACTGGTGAGGTTAAGCATGCTTTCATATGCTATTGGGCATTAACACTGCAGTTTCTCTTTTTATGAATTACTTATTTGTATATTTGCCGGTTATTCTTCTCTCAATATGCTTCTCCTCAATGCATGAGGGCTTTTACTACCTCAAGAGTATCAGCTCTTGGTCTTGGAACCATCCTTCCTTAGTTCATCATCTGGCTTTTCATTTTCTTAATTTTTCTTTTAAATATTCTTTTCAGTTCATTTTTTTAAAGTTTATTTCTTCTATGAGTAAGAGAGACAGAGAGACACAGAGAGAGACAGAGAGAACCCACTGGGTTTTGATGCTATGATTCACCCCAGGCTTTCAACTAGCCCTGGATCAAGTGTACACTCAGTGTATTCAGGGAGATTCCCAGATTTGAACCAGGAACATTCCCATGTGGGATTCCTTACAGAGCATTACGCTTTATCACTGCACCACAGACTCACCCTGCTGTCCACCAACTGGCCCTTGGAGTCATTCTTCTTCAGCCCCCTAAGTGTGTGGCATTCTTTGGCATGGCTGAGTCCTACAAATAGTGTCCTTGACATGTCCTTTTTTTTTTTTTTAAAAAAAAGAGAGATTCTTGCTATAGGGTGTGCGTGCTCACCAGAAAGAAAGAGATAGAGAGATAGAAAGTGAGAAATCACCCTATGGGGGGATGACCACGCTGCAATCCCTTCTCCTCCAGTCTCCTCTCAGGATTTTGAGCATGCACACACATGTGCCCAGTGTGCGTTTGAAGTTGCTCAGGCCGGGACTAGAAATGTGGTCGGCTATGTGAGAGTCCCTTGATGTAACCATTAGCCATCTGCTGGTCCCGACATATTTTTTCAAAAGTATTTTTGAAGATTGTGTTTCTTCATGAATCAGGATTAAGTCTTTTCTATTCACTTTCGTTTCCTTATGATAGCAAAAAAGTTACTTCCTGCAGTTCTAATAGAAGGGCTCACTGTTTCTCTGAAGAGCACAGTGATAGCCGCAACACTCACCATCCGCTGAGAGTTGGTTCTTTAGTTCTTCAAGTTCCTCATCCTTGATTCTAATTCCCATATTTTCCAAAATATTTTCCACTTTTTTGATTTTGACCCTTGGCCCTTAGGAAGAAAGACATAGTTAAGAGTGAAAAATGCTAATCATGGTCATATATCAAATACCCCCAATTGGAGGGTAAAGCACAATAGCACAAGAAACCCTATTAATGTGTGTCATGGTCACTGGTGAGGTTAAGCATGCTTTCATATGCTATTGGGCATTAACACTGCAGTTTCTCTTTTTATGAATTACTTATTTGTATATTTGCCGGTTATTCTTCTCTCAATATGCTTCTCCTCAATGCATGAGGGCTTTTACTACCTCAAGAGTATCAGCTCTTGGTCTTGGAACCATCCTTCCTTAGTTCATCATCTGGCTTTTCATTTTCTTAATTTTTCTTTTAAATATTCTTTTCAGTTCATTTTTTTAAAGTTTATTTCTTCTATGAGTAAGAGAGACAGAGAGACACAGAGAGAGACAGAGAGAACCCACTGGGTTTTGATGCTATGATTCACCCCAGGCTTTCAACTAGCCCTGGATCAAGTGTACACTCAGTGTATTCAGGGAGATTCCCAGATTTGAACCAGGAACATTCCCATGTGGGATTCCTTACAGAGCATTACGCTTTATCACTGCACCACAGACTCACCCTGCTGTCCACCAACTGGCCCTTGGAGTCATTCTTCTTCAGCCCCCTAAGTGTGTGGCATTCTTTGGCATGGCTGAGTCCTACAAATAGTGTCCTTGACATGTCCTTTTTTTTTTTTTAAAAAAAAAGAGAGATTCTTGCTATAGGGTGTGCGTGCTCACCAGAAAGAAAGAGATAGAGAGATAGAAAGTGAGAAATCACCCTATGGGGGGATGACCACGCTGCAATCCCTTCTCCTCCAGTCTCCTCTCAGGATTTTGAGCATGCACACACATGTGCCCAGTGTGCGTTTGAAGTTGCTCAGGCCGGGACTAGAAATGTGGTCGGCTATGTGAGAGTCCCTTGATGTAACCATTAGCCATCTGCTGGTCCCGACATATCCTTTCAAAAGTATTTTTGAAGATTGTGTTTCTTCATGAATCAGGATTAAGTCTTTTCTATTCACTTTCGTTTCCTTATGATAGCAAAAAAGTTACTTCCTGCAGTTCTAATAGAAGGGCTCACTGTTTCTCTGAAGAGCACAGTGATAGCCGCAACACTCACCATCCGCTGAGAGTTGGTTCTTTAGTTCTTCAAGTTCCTCATCCTTGATTCTAATTCCCATATTTTCCAAAATATTTTCCACTTTTTTGATTTTGACCCTTGGCCCTTAGGAAGAAAGACATAGTTAAGAGTGAAAAATGCTAATCATGGTCATATATCAAATACCCCCAATTGGAGGGTAAAGCACAATAGCACAAGAAACCCTATTAATGTGTGTGTGTGTGTGTGTGTGTGTGTGTCTCCCTCCAGGTTTAGCTATGTCTGTTAGAAGTAAGAAAAACTTAAGGAAGATAAACACTGAATGGCTAATAGTATTTACATTTAGGAGAGGGATTAGATTGATGACAGGTAGAGGGACTCATTTCTTTTTTATTTTTCCAAAGGGTGCATGTACTTGCCAGAGGAAGACCGACAGACAGACATGCACACACATCAGAGAAAGCACTCCTCAGTGGACGGTGGTTGTGCTGTGATCTCTTTACTTCCATTTCTCCACCCAGAAATTGAGGCACACCCATGTATGTAACTGTCATGTCTTTCAAGCTGCTGGGGCTAGAACTCAAACTAAGTGGCAGACCATGTGGGATCCAGCACCCTTTTTCTTGTGAGAGGTTTTTGCTATAGGGTGCATGCACTCACCAAAAAGACAGAGAGAGACAGAGAGCCAGAAAATGAGAAATCCCAAACCAGGGGGTATGGTCACACCACAACCCCTTCTCCTCCACTCTCCTCTTGGGATCTTGGGCACACATGCACATGCGTTTGGCGTGAGTTTAAGCCATGGGGTTCTGGGCTTGAACTGCGGTTGACTACATGGGAGTCCAGTGACATAGCCATTATGCCAACTGCTGATCCCAAGGGATCCAGCACTCTTAACCAACAGACCATGGGACTAGCCCACTTTTACTACCTTATTTCAATTTTTTTGAGAGGTTTTTGCTATAGGGCGTGTGTGCTCGCCAGAAAGACAGAGAGAGACAGAGAGACAGAAAGCAAGAAATCCCCCCCCAGGGGGAGACGGACACACTGCAATCCCTTCTCCTCCTTATCCTCTTGGGATCTTGGGCACACACACGCCTGGCACGAGTTTAAGCTACTGGGTCTGGGACTCGAACCATGGTCAACTATATGGGAGTCCAGCGACAGAACAATTATGCTAACTGCTGGTCCCTCTTTATTTTAATTTTCTAAGTAGTCAGAGTTGGATACTTTTCTTATTTTTTGTATTTGAAATTTTTTCCAATTTTAAATTAAATTTTCTAATTGGTGATTAAAAGAATAATTACACAGAAAAAATGAAAATATAATATTTCTTTTAATACTGACCCAGGAGCTCTGCTTCAGTATTCCCTGAAACAGCAATAGAGAGGAGTAGACATGGCTAATGATTCACAGTTGGGACAACTAATCTATATAAACCTAGCCAGAAAACTGTTAGAAACTTCCCACAATATGATACTTTATATCCCAGAAAATAAATGTACCCAAAGAAGAATGGTAAGTTGTAAGTCATAATAATAATTGGCAGGAAACAAGTTAGAATATTTAAAAGAAAAATGCTAAACATAAAAAGTTTCCCCCATAGGGCACACATGCTCTCCAGAGAGAGACAGCCAGAAGGAAAGTGAGGAATCACCTCCCAGGGGGGTTGGCCACGTTGCAATCCCTTCTCCTCCATTTTCTGCCTGGATTTTGGGCATGAACTTACCACGCCAAGCATGATTTTCAAGCCACTAGACTCAATCCACAGTCAGTCTTGTGGGAGTCCAGCACCTTAATCACCATGTCACCTGGTGACCCCAGTGTAAGAACTTATTTTTTCCAAGAATTATTTTATTTAACTTTATTTATTTACTTATTTTTAAAATTTGACCAGAGAGGGATAGAGTGAGAGAGAAAGTGAGAAAGCAAGCCGCCAGGTCCAGGACTCGAACTGCAATCAGTCATGTGGAAGTCCAGCACCCTTAACAACCATACTACCTACCAGCCACAACATAAGAACCCTTTATTTTTTAAAGAATTATTTGATTGGGAACCAGCAGTTAGTGTAATGGCTATGTCGCTGGACTCCCACGTAGTTGACCGTGGTTCGCGTCCCGGACCCGGTGGCTTAAAACTCATGCCAGGTGCGTGTGTGTGCATGCCCAAGATCCCAGGGGGAGAATGGAGGCAAAGGGATTGCGGCGTGACCATCCCCTCTGGGGGGTGATTTCTCACTTTCTGTCTCTATGTCTCTCTATCTGGTAAGTGCACGTGCCCTAAAGCGAAAACCTCTCCAAAAAAAAAAAAAAAGAATTATTTGATTTAAAATTATTTATTTATTTTAATTTGACCAGAGAGGGACAGAGTGAGATAGAGAGAGCAAGAGAGAGAGAGAGAGAGAGAGCGAGAGTGAGAGAGAGAAAGCAAGCCGCCAGGTCCAGGACTTGAACCATAGTCAGCCATGTGGGAGTCCAGTGCCCTTAACCACCACACCACCTGCCGACCTCTCAACATAAGAACTTTTTACTGGTCCTTTTACCTTGCTTCTTACTCACCATTGAGGGCCTTTACAGCTTTTAGCAACCTCTTCTTATACACCTTTCCACCATCTGTAAGACAAGATCTGATTTAGAGTAGAGCTTATGATGGGAAGATGAACAGAAATAGCACAGACAACACAATATTCATAGCTTCAGGGGGAAAAACTTTCAATTTGTTTGGAAGTTTATTTTATCTTATCCTCAAGTAAAAATGAAACTAAAGACAAAATTTTCACTCTTCTAAATCTATTCAAGGGTTGGATTAAAAAAAGTATTTCCTTATTTCTCTCCCTTTTCCCCCTTCTCTTATCCCCTGGTTTCTCTTCTCTCTCTGGGCATGATTTAGATTAGGCAGTGTTCTCAGGGCAACAGGATAAGTCAGCCTTGATGGTGGGAGAGTGGGAGACTAATGAGAGATGTTGCCACCTTTCAGTACTAAAATGCAAGTGACATGGACAGGCAACAAGATTTCTTCTTGTGTGAAAATTGTGTTTTCTAAATGGGGTTTAATGGACATATACATGTATAAATTGAGAAGTTCTCACACACAAGCCCCTAAACCTGGACTTTAAAGGATGTGTTAAATACTCACTGTGAACTGGCAGAGTTTTCAGCAGCGTCTCCTGTTCCTTGTCGGTGAGTACCAGCCCCATTTTCCTCAGCTCATTGCCTAGACTGCTGACATTCATCTCCTCTCCTGTGGAAAGATGAGATATGTTCACAGGTAAAAACTTTAGAAATGGACAAATGATTTCAAATTATGAAAAAGATTGCCAATGTGGCACTATTGTTAATTAAAAGAGCAAATTTATGATGAAACTTGTTAAGTTACTTAGAGTCAAAGGACGTATGGATGTGTAGTTCAAGTCAGAAACAGACTTTATACTGTTTACTAAAGGGAAAAAAAAAAGCTTGGGACTAGGAGATGGCATAAAGTTTAAGTTGCTGGAATCCCACGTAAATTGACTACAGGTCAAGTCCCGGACAGAGCAGCTTAAAACTCACGCCAGGCATGGGTGCGTGTGTGCCCAAAATCCCGAGAGAAAAATGGAGAAGGAGGGATTGTGGCATAGCCACCCCCTGCCCTAGAGATGATTTCTCTCTTTCTGTCTCTCCGATGAGTGCATGTACCTTATCGCAAAAATCTCTCTTAAAGAAAAGAAAGAGAAAGAGAAAAGTTCATATTATTCTAAATACAAGCCAAGAGCCACATTACCTAAATTATGGGGTCTTTTGATAAATAGCCATATTTCCTGGCTAGAATATAAAACCTTTACTTTGAGGTTGGATAGTGTTGATTTGCATTTTGGTTATTTGAGAAATGAACAAACGGGAAAACATTATTGTCCCAAACCACACAATATAGATCATGTATACATGGGAAGCCCTAAATCAAATAATAAGATTATGTACATTTAAACATGAAATTTGTAGGGGTGTCAACCTAGCATGTAAGTAAAAAGCTGAAGAGAAAACTACTGTACAGAAACATCTTGAGCCAGTTGGCAGCATGGTGGTTGAAGTGACTAGATCCCAGTTGACTGGCTATACGGTTCAGGCCCCAAATCTGCTGCCTCGAAGGGCAGGCTGGGTGCATGTGTGCATGTGCCCAAAATCTCAAGAGGAGACTGGAGGAGAGGGGTTTGCTGCATGAACATCTCCCCTGCTGGGTGCTTTCTCACTTTCCCTCTCTCTTTCTTTCTCTAGTGAGCACACATGCCCTGTAGCAAAATAAAAAAAAAAAATCTTAATTATTTTCTTTGTGAAGCATAAAGGTCTTAGTTAATAATAAATACCCTTTGACCATGTCTTACTCACCTGTAAAAGCTTTTGCTTCATCCATCACCACATTCAAATCAACCATTTCATTCTCTGTAAGAAAAGATCATTCAGGCACAGAACAAATCTTAGACTTAAAAAAATAATATGAAAAATTTAACTTATAAAGGGTTGTGATCCTGCTATTTCTTTTCTTTTTCTTTTCTTTCTTTCTTTCTTTCTTTTTTTATATATGATCAGTTATTTAATTAGGTTCTTGGCACAGAATTTAGAACACCAATTTGTGAGGATAGACTCCATTTGTAAGGGCAAACACGGATCGCAGATAGCCCTGGAACTGAGGAACGGCTTTGATTTTTGGTAAAATTTGAGTCCACAGCTTTCTGATCAACCTTGTGCTGCTCTGAATCTCGAATTTCTCCTTCTCTGTGTCATATCTCACCTTCCTGGTGTCCGGGCTTCCATAGTTTCTTTTTCCTGAAGTAAGCATTGGTAAGGTGCTTTGGGATTTTTACTTTGCTAATATCAATTTTCATGGCGGTGGCAATGACAAATTTCTGGTGTGTTCTATGCAGGGGAACGCAATTGAGAACCAGTGTTCCAGTTACAGGTAGCAAGCCACTGCTCAGCTGCTTCAGGAAAACCACTCTCTTGCCTCTGTGGCGTCCAGTGAGGATGATCAGAATGGTCCCGGGAGTGATGCTGACTCGCAGCTTTCTCACATGCTGACTGAAGGCTTTATTTTATTTATTTTTTCTTTTCTGTGGCTCAATAGCTTTCACGGCACATCTTCAGTAGGACAGTAGGATGGTACCTCGGCATTTTGTGCAGTTTAACCACCTGGATATCACCATTCTTGTCTCCACCAAATGGTTTTGCGATAGTCGCCAAGAACCTTTTTTTTCCTTTTAGATCCTGGATTTAGTGGCCGAGTGTTTCCTCTTGTACATGGCCTTCCAGGAATACATGGCAGACTAGGAGTATCTGCCGATGCCCTGGACTAGGACAGGGTTTCGACTGCATTGGGGCTTCCCCTTCTTGGGCTTTTTAGCCTTGGAGTCACCCTTTTTAACCTTGCCACTTGCATCAGCCTTCTTGGCTTCAGGTTTCTTCTCCTTAGTATTCTGCTTTGCAGTTTTTCACCTGCCATCTTGAATAGTGGGAAAGAGGATTCTGCTATTTCAATGATTTTTTACCTGGCAACTCTTAACTCAAAATAAGCAAGAAACAAAAGTGAAAAATAAGATATAAACTTTAAAAATGTGTGTGTGTGTGTGTCCTGCATTCTAAACAGGGCCTTGCTATGTTGTGATCCTACCTCAGCCTCATGAGCAGCTTCCTGCACCTGGCTAAGATGTAAATTTGAAGTAAACATACATTTAATTAACACCATTTTCTATAGAGTATCTAAGAGTAGTCAATGAATTATCTTAGAGATGAAGTAAGGTAACAGTAGTGACTTTTAATAAGCCTCTCCATTTCTCCAGGCCCTTAAAAGGAGCATACTTCAAAAGACATAAATTGAGGGACCAGCAGTTGGCATAATGGCTACGTTGCTGGACTCCCATGTAGTCGGCCGCAGTTTGAGTCCCAGACCTGGTGACTTAAACTCACGCCAGGCGTGTGTGCGTGAGTGCCCAAGATTCCAAGATGAGAATGAAGGAGAAGAGACTGTGGCATGGCCATCCTCCCTGGGGGGTGAGTTCTCACTTTCTGTTTCTCTGTCTCTGTCTTTCTGATGAGCACATGCACCCTATAGCAAAAACCTCTCAAAACAAAACAAAAACAAAAACAAACATACATTGAAATGAAAATAAGAAGTCATTTATTTACATAAGCAGCTAACTCTTAAACCATAACAGCTGCCATGGTCTGCATGCCATCATCTCGGTACGCCATCATCTCACCCTCTGAATTTTGCTTACATTGTCTACCTCCACCACCAAACTGTAAGCTATCTGAGAGTAGGGACCATGCCTTAATTTTCTTCACACTTTCAGGTGTAGATTCAGTGTTTGTGCTAGCGAGATGAATGAAACAGTCTCAAAGGTATAGAAATAGTCATACTGTTGGATTAGAAAGAAATATTCTGTCTTTTTTTTTTTTTTTAAATCAAGGAGACTGAGACAAAGATGGCATAATGGTCACATGGCTGGACTCCTGCATAGTTGACCATGGTTTGAATGTGGGACCCAGTGGCTTAAAACTCATGCCAGGCATTTGTGCCCATGTGCCCAAAATCCTGAGAGGGGAATGGAGGAGAAGTGACTGTGGCATAGCCATTCCCCCTTCGGGGTGATTTTTTGCTTTCTGTCTCTGTCTCTCTGTCTCTCCAATGAGAGCACACATTCTATAGCAAAAAATCTCTCTTAAAAAAATCAAGGAGACTAAAAAATACATTTGTAATATTATCTTTTCTGGTAGGAAGCATTTTGAGACCCTCTAGCTAACTTGTGGAGACAGTATCAATTAAAAACCTAATTTATGTGACCAGCAGTTGGCGTAATGGCTTTGTCGCTGGACTCTCATGTAGTCGACTGCAGTTAGAGCTCTGGACCCGGTGGCTTAAACTCACGCCAGGTGCGTGTGTGTGCGTGCCCAAGATCCTGAGAGAAGAATGGAGGAGAAGAGATTGTGGCATGGCCATCCCCTGGGAGCTGATTTTTCACTTTCTTTCTCTGTCTGTCTCTGTCTTTCAGGTGAGTGCACGCGCCCTATAGCAAAAACCTCTCAAAAAAACCCCTAGCCTATAATTTATGGTTATGTTTTTCATCTTATAAAGAGTGGTCAGACAAAATTATGAATAATCACCAATGTTATTAAAGCCAGGAAGAGTTAGATTTTAAACTTCAGGCTAGGCCAAACTGTTTGGGCTAGTTGCTTGTAAGGGTAGCACGAAAGAGGCCTGCTGGTTGTGCAGTGGCCTACCTTAGCTGTGCCTGCCGATCACGAGTTGAGAATACAACATTGAATTAGGGGAAAACTATTCGCTTCATTTGGGTTTCCATGTGCTGGCTTGACTGAAATATGTGCTGACTCTCTGATGGAAGCTTATTTTTCATCAGGTTTTTAATGAGGAAGCGCCTGGCTCTGGGTTTGAATCCCATGGCTTATCTCTTAGCAACCTCTTCCTAATGAATTATTGTAGCATTGCCTCTTTGACATTTTTGTTCAACTAAATGAGTCTTCTTGAGTCATTAATGTATATTTATCTTATTTGACAAAAAGTATACACAGGAAATAAAAAAAGAAAATATATGAAGCAAATATGGAAAAATGGTAACATCTTAAATTTGGGGCAAGTGGACACACAGTGCTTGTTATATTATTTGTTTTTATGTATGCTTGAAATATTTGATCAGTTTTTCAAAGAGATTTAAAAAGAGGTTTTACTTGCATAAGCTCTCCTTCAGAAACCCTAAAATTCCTCTTTGGTACAGTGGTGTCTGAGATACTTACCATCAATTGGCAGATGGTTTAGTAGGTCTTCATGTTCCTCTTTCCCGAGCTCAATTCCCATGTTTTTCATAAGAGCTTCCAGGTTACTGACTTTGATTTTTTTCCCTTAGAATATAAGAGAATAGAAATAAGAAGTGCAGGGGCCGGCAGGTGGTGTGGTAGTTAAGGTTCTGGACTCCCACATGGCCAGCCACAGTTTGAGTCCCACGCCTGGCAGCTTGCTTTCTCACTTTCCTTCTCTTGGTCTGCCTCTCTCTGGTGAATGCATGTGCACTACAGCAAACAAAATAATAACAATAATAAGTAAAATGAAATAAATAATTTAGAAAAGAAAGAAGTGCAAATATTTCTAAGAAGTGGAAGATGCTAACTTTGAGCATGCATCCACCCTAAGTGGAAAGTGAAACATATTGGCCATTTAAGTGAGCCCAGATGGTCAGTGTTAAAGTCAACAATAGAAAATTATTCCTCAACACTGAGCTGTAACTTTCAATTCAAGTAATTGTAGGGTTTTTAAAAAATTAGACCAATATGACAACTTATAATAGAGATAGACAATATAAATGAAAGCAAAACTTCAAACTTGCCACAGTGACATATTAATAACAATGACTTTCTCAAATATTGTTATATCCAAACAAGGATGGTAGTTTATGATGCATCGTTTAGAATCAGTAAGCTAGTGGAATGATGGATAGCAAGATCCAATCACTGAGAAATTTTCAAAAAGTAAATGCAAAGCACAATAAATTTTAACTGTTATTCTCATAATTCTTACCTTTGAGAGGCTTTAAACTCTCCAGTAATCTTTTTTTAAACACTTTTCCATCTTCTGTAAGATATGGTGAAATTTATGTCAAAACAAAAAGGGTAAGACATTATCTAATTAGAGATTATCCAATTTCATAAGACATTTGATATGACTTACCTAGAAATATCTTATTTTACCTTCAAATAATAACAAAAGATAAGGACTGCTTTCAATAGTCAGTCTACCCCCTACTCAGAACACATGGCAGTAGCTGATATGCTCCACAAACACACACATGCATAGGTGCTTCTTTCTTATGCCTTCTTCTTGTTCTTCTTTTGTTGCATTTTGACTTGTTTTCCTTTCCCTTTTTCCCCTGTCTCTGCTCTAGACCTATGATGTATTCCTATAAGCATATGTTTAACTCTAACGATAGGTCCTATAAAGGGATGATACTGAAAATATCCATCAACCTGAAGAATAATAAAAAACCAATACTTGGGCCAGCTGGTGGCATGATGGTTAAGGGCATGGGACTCCCACATGGCCAACCACAGTGTGAGTCTTGGACCTGGCAGCTTGCTTTCTCTCTTTCTGTCCCTCTGGTCAAATGAAAATAAATAAATAAAGTTAAATAAAATAATTCTTAAAATAAAAAACAAAAACCAATACTTAAACATTAAAAGAAAAAAATATATTTTTCCTAAACAAGCATTTTCCATAAATAGGGGTGAAATTCAACTGGAACAGAGAACAGAGGGCACCCACCAGCCCAACCCATCCTTATGGGTCCTATCTGATCCCAGAGGCCACCATCCTGTGGCAGGAATGTCTACAATGTTGACAGAAGCTTCAATGCCTGACATGTGTCTATAGTAGTTTCCATTATGGCCCATTTGCATATTTCTACATCTCCTTCCTGCTCTCTCCGAATCAAAATTTAAAGAAGGCTGCAATTCTCATAATTAGCCACTTGAGAGAGCATCTAGAAGAAATGCCAGACAGTGCACAGCCATAGCCCTAAGATGTATGTGAGAAGAATTCAGATGGCCACTAGGGGCACTAGCATCACTTGGTGATGTGGTCAGTCATGTGGGATCCAGCCACTTTCATGACCATGTCAGGGGTTGGCCCAAACTACTGCTTTAAAAACCTAAGTCTCAGTCCAGTCACAGTGTAGGCTCACTCTTGCCTGGGGAAATCTGAGGACAGGAGCTATGAGGAGAAAGAATGTCCTCGTAGGCATCTCAGGGCCCGGACAGGAGGTACAGGTGTAGTACAGGTGGGCTTTTAGGTTCTTCGTGGGGGACCCTAAGCAACTGTCCAGGAGATGGAACTTTGAGAGGCTGACCATACAAACACATAGTCCTGGAGGCCCATTGCCCTCAGGCTGAGGATTGGGAGCTACAGAATAATTTAGCCATATACAGTTAAAATACTTAGCAGGGGCCCACTGGCTGAATGCAAAAGAGAAAAATTTCTCACTTATAACTTTCTCACTTCCAATTTAAAACAAAGATGACAAGAACAGGGTTTCTCATGCTGTAACTTTGCTTTTCTTAAGGGGTTTTTCATAGTTCTCACCCAGAAGCCCACAGTAACACATTTCCTTGAACACTGTGATGGTAAGTACTATGTTAAGTACTCACTATGGACTGGCAGAGATTTTAACAGCTTCATGTGTTCTTTTTCGGTGAGGTTAATTCCCACGTCTTTCAGTACGTTTTTTAAGTCACTGGCTTCGACCATTTCTCCTTTAAATAGATGGGAATTGTTTCAGGTGATAATAGTAGGAGATTTAATTGTTCTAAATTATAAAATATAATCTTATACAGCACTATTTTTTCATTGCAGGATGAAGTATAAATACACAAGCCAACTCCACTTACAAAGAGTTATTCTGAAAGTCAGTATCTGAACGAGTTCTTTAGTTCTTTTTTTTTTTTAACTTTTAAAAAAGAATTATTTATCGGGACCAGCAAATGGCATAATGGCTATGTCACTGGACTCCCACGTAGTCAACTGTGGTTTCAGTCCCAGACCTGGTGACTTAAACTCACGCTGGGCGCGTGTGCGTGCATGCCCAAGATCCCGAGAGGAGAATGGAGGAGAAGGGATTGTGGTGTGACCATCCCCCCTGGGGAGTGATTTCTCGCTTTCTGTCTCTCTGTCTCTCTGCTTGGTGTGCTTCTGAAGCTGCCTGGTCCAGGACTCAAATGATGTGGTCAGTCATGCGGGATCCAGCCACTTCATGACCATGTCACGGGTTGGCCCAAACTACTGCTTTAAACACTTAAGTCTCAGTCCAGTCACAGTAATGGAGTCAGTAGGTTATTGTACATGATATTGAAGCCACATGGGAAGGCCTGGAGTTCAGATTCCTAGCTGTCCTGAACATAAAAGGTGTTCCTGTGATCCTGGATGGTTAGAAGGTTAGGGGGAAGAATGAGACATGGCATGATCCTGTTGTGGAGTGAGGGGCGTGGGAGGTTCCCGTCTCTCTCATTCATAAAGAAAAGAAATAAATAAACTTTAAAAGGAAAAAAAAAGGTAATTCTCTACAAAGCAAGATCTAAATTTTATAGCATTTATACACATTCCCACCTGTAAAAGCTTTTGTTGCATCCATCAACACATCCAAGTCAATCATTTCATCTGTCAAAAACAAACAAACAAACCCAAAACACAGAATTTAGACTCAGAAATGAAGATGCTGGGACTTAAAAATTATACAAGATAAATTAAAACATGATGTATAATATTACAGTAATTTCATGCTTTATCCCACAATTTTTATTTTTTCGATCCATAGGAATATATTATAAAATAGAGAAAATTTGATTTACACTTTAAGAACATACCTATTCAATTAATGAAACTTCTTTTTTATTCCATAAGCTGTTAGTTGTTAAAAGTCTTTGGGGCATTGCAGTGAGTAGGATTTTGTTTGTTTGGAGTCAGCTTAATCCCACAGGAATGTCCTCCCCTTTACAGACCTAGTTCTCTTGCTCTGAGTGAATGGCCAAGACATGTCAGAGGAGCAGTTCTCAAAGCATGGCCCATGGACCTCTGGAGTCACCAAATACCCTTGCTCTTTTCACTATGTTGACATTTGTTCTGATGGTGTAAAAGCAGTGGTGGGTAAAACTGTTGACATCTATACAGCAAAGCAGTGGCAACCAACTACTAGCAGTCAGTTCTTCACTGAATATACTCACAGCAAAATATAGTCGGTTTCAACTTATGATTATGTTCCTGATAAAGCAGCAGAAGTTATTAATTTTATTAAGTTTTAACACTTCTGTGTAGTAGGTAAGAAATATGCATATAAAGAACTTTTTTTTTTCTTTTCTTTCTTTCTTTCTTTATTTTTTAACTTTTTTTTTTTTTTTTGGAGAGGTTTTTGCTATAGGGTGCGTGCACTCTCCAGACAGAGAGAGCGAGACAGAGAGACAGAAAGCAAGAAATCACCCCCCAGGGGAGGATGGCCATGCCGCAATCCCTTCTCCTCCATTCTCCTCTCGGGATCTTGGGCACGCATGCACACGCGCCCGGTGTGAGTTCTAAGCCACCAGGTCCGAGACGCAAACCGTGGTCGACTACGTGGGAGTCCAGCAACATAGCCATTACGCTAACTGCTGGTCCCACATAAAGAACTTTGATCTCATAATAAAATATGATAATTTCTTGAGAAAAAGTACTTGTTGGATTTGCAAACAAATTAGCTGTTTTTTCATTGAATATCATTTTCACTTGAGAAAATGAATGATGGACAAAAATCTAGTTTTTTAGAATTGGGTATCTGAGAGACATGTTCTTGAAAACAAACAAGGTGAACCTGTCATTTTAAGAAAACCAGCTAAAAAAAGATAGTTTTAATGGTAAAGCTCAAGGTTTCAAACACAAACTTGAATTCAAAATTTATTTATTGGGAACCAGCAGTTAGCGTAATGGCTATGTCGCTGGACTCTCACGTAGTCGACTGCGGTTCGCGTCCCGGACCCAGTGGCTTAAAACTCACACTGGGCGCGTGTGTGTGTGTGCCCAAGATCCCGAGTGGAGAATGGAGGAGAAGGGATTGCGGCGTGACCATCCCCTCGGGGGGTGATTTCTCGCTTTCTGTCTCTATGTCTCTGTCTGTCTGGCGAGCGCACGTGCCCTATAGTGAAAACCTCTCAAAAATTTTTATTTAATTTCATTTATTATTATTTAATGTGCTATAGGGCTTTCGCACTCACAAAAGAGTGAGAACAAGAGAGAGAAAATAAGAAAGCAAGCCACCAGGACGAGCACTCAAACCACAATCAGCCTTGTGGGAGTCCAGCACCTTAACCACCATGCCACCTGCTGGGCCCTAAAGACTTGAATTTTGGAAACTACATCTGTATGGTGACTCGATAGCCTTCCAATAATTAAACACTCCTTTGATGAGGGTGGGGGTAACATTAATAAGAGCATTTTTTAAAATTAAAGGGTGAGGGACCAGCAGTTGGCGTAATGGCTATGTTGCTGGACTCCCATGTAGTCGACTGCAGTTCGAGTCCCGGACCTGGTGGCTTAAACTCATGCTGGGTGTGTGCGCATGTATGCTCAAGATCCCGAGAGGAGAATGGAGGAGAAGGGACTGCAGCATGGCCATCTCCCCCTGGGGGGTGATTTCTCGCTTTCTATCTCTCTGTCTCTGTCTTTCTGGCGAGCACACGTGCCCTATAGCAAAAATCTCTCAAAAAAAAAAAAGAAAAAAAATTAAAGGGCTAAATGTGTCAATATTTGGAAGAAAAGGATAACTTAGCAAACATATAACGGACATTGAGGGTTGGCTCCATACATTGAGCTCATCTCCCCTCTCCCTCTTCACCCTATCTCCCTGAGACTTAGTTGCAGGCCACAGAGGGGCTTGTGTGAACATCTGACAATTCCCATACTTCACAGAATTGGTTCCTGGTCAGGGCCATTTGAGAGGTAACCCTCCCATATTAACATCACAAGATTAGAGGCAGAAAACTCTGAACATACTCTGCGAATCCTGTTCACTGAGAGGCTGACCTTTTATTATAATCTTCAAACAATGTAGGTACAAACCAGACCCCTGTATTGACAGGAGAGAACCTGCATTGATCTTTAATTGATTTATGAATGCTTTGTTTTCCACGTATGTAACCTGAGCCTGTGCTCAGTGACTGCGTGGACCATTCTCAGCCCAGCAGTCAGCGCGCATCCTGTCCTATGTAAGTCAATTCATGTTTTCTCCCGCTGGACTTTATGTGTGTTCTTCAGAATCAGTAACCATAGTGTGCAGGCCCTCTCAGATTTGGAGCGTCCCCAGAACAGACGTAGTATTGCCATTTTTAAGTGAATTAATTTATATAAATATTATTAAAATGTGCATAATAGTTTCAAGTACAAGATATATTAATAGATATAATCAACAAAAACAGCATGAAGAAGTTCTGAGTGAGAACTCCTGCATTAGAGGGTACACACAGTAATAGGCGAGACTGAGTTAGTTTGCTTGTTGGTGTCTTATCCAGTTTTAGTGCATAATTAGTCCTTAGTCCAGGACATCCTCATCCTCAAACTTTGCTAGGCCTCTTGTATTTCTCCTAGGAGCTGGAAGCTCCTCTGAGAGCAGACACCACAACTCTGCTCTTTGGTCTCTAACCAGTCTTAGTTTCTAGTACATACATTGTTCAGAGACAGTATATTTGCCAGACAGATAAAACACCAGCAACATGATGCTGGCCTATGGTTGACACTCAATAAATATTTGTTCAATGGATCAAAAGATGAAAGAAAAGTATTAAAAACTTAGGACCTTGATCCTCTCGGGTGGCATGGAGGTTAAGGCACTGGATCCCACATGGCAACTGCACAGTTTGAGTCTTAGACCCAGCGACTTGAAAAACATGTTGGGCGTGTGTGCCTATGTGCCCCAAATCCAGACAGTGGAGAAGGGATTGTGGCATGGGCACTCCCCTACCTCCAACGAAGTGATTTCTCACCTACCCGCCCCTCCCCCCCCCACTCTGTAGTGAGCACATATGCCCTGTAGCAAAAACTCTTTTATTTATTTATTTTTTGGGGAGAGGTTTTTGCTATAAGGTGCATGCACTCACCAGAAAGAGAGAGAGACAGAAGCGAGAAATCACCCCCCAGGGGGAATGGCCACGCTGCAATCCCTTCTCTTCCAATCTCCTCTTGGGACCTTGGGCAAGCATGCACACATGCCTGGTGTGAGTTTAAGCCACCGGGTCTGGGACTCAACTGCTGTTGACTCCATGGGAGTCCAGCGACATAGCCATTAAGCTAACTGCTGGTCCCTGTAGCAAAAACTCTTAAAAACAAAATCTTGATCCTTGAACAATGAAGTCCTGTCCTAGCAAAAGATGTTCTTCCTAGGGAACCTCCAAGTTCCACATTGTTATAAGAAACTTGAAACCAGTCCTTAATGCTGTTCAATTAGTCTTGGCTATGTTAGCCACCAAGCTCAGTTGGGGGACTGTGGTGAAGAGAGAAGAGACTGCTCTTCTTTCTTTCAGTTTGAGTCCTTCAACTCAACCCCAATGCTGAGTTATGCTGTTTAAAAAGAAAAGGTCAGTCTATATCCTTATGGATATCTTTTTTTTTTTTTTTTAATTTGCTAAGGCACATGCACTTGCAGGTTTGGGCATGCACACACACACCTGGTGTATTTTCCAAGTCACCAGGTCCTGAACTTGAACTGTCCAATTGACTATGTGGGGTCCAGCTGCCTTAACAACTACACCGCCATTTGATCCTCCCTTTTTCTTTTCTTTTACCCTTCCTTCATCTTTTTATTACATCTTCCTTTTTTTTTTTATCTTTTTGTTGTTGTAAAAGTTCTTTTTTTATTATAATTTTGATGTATGATAGTTTTATGTATTTTAAAATTCCATTCTTTGTCTCAAATATTCCTTTATTGTATTTCTTATTCTTTTGGAATTCTTCTACTTGTAGGGATACTCTGAGCACTGTTTAACCTGCTGGCGGTTATCATGGTTTTAAGACACCTAACTTGAAGATTAATAGGGGCCAGCAGGTAACATGGTGGTTAAGAGTGCTGGACTCCCACATGGCTGACTGTGCTTTGAATCCTGGATCTGGAGGCTGGCTATCTCACTTTCTCTCTTTCTTTCTTTCTCTCCTTCTCTGATCAAAATTAAAATAAATAAATAAATATCTCCCCCCCTTACCTACCACATCAAGTCTGCCTTCCCCATACATCACTGGTGCGCTGCTCCAGGTAAGGGCTTTGAAATCTGTACTTCATCAACAGTGTTACATTTTCTCTTTCCCCACCATCTGTCTTCCCAACACCTCTTTCCTCACTGCTTTCAGAGTAGGCTAGTCATTGTCTACAGGACAGAGGTGTCTTAAATGCTCACCAGCAACTGGTAGGTGAGTCTGCAGGTCCTTGATTTCTTGTGCTTCAAGGTTGAATCCAGTGTTTTGTAGAACATTTTTTAGGTCAGAGACACTAACCTGCCCTCCTTCACAAAAACAAGAGAAAGTAGATACAGATGTTATAAAATGAAAAATGTAGGCCATCAACCTCTTAGACATGAGAGTGCAAAGATGCTATTTATAGCAAGTCATGTGGGAGTCAGAAACAGAATATATTCCCATAATTAAATTTCTGGGAAATGTTTATATTAGGAAGAAAAAGTGAGGAGTTTGGGAACTCTAGCAAGTTAGGTAAATATGATACCCAAATCATCTTATTCTGGTCAAACTTGTTTTGAAAGTCTTTACAAAAACTACAAATTACCTCCCAAAATGTAACTAAACATAAAAGAGAACTCTAGTTAATGGGAAAGAATTACTGAAAACTACTTATATAGTTTGATAAAACAACTCTGAAATATAAGATTTTACAGTCTCTACATATTTCAATTGAATTAAATAATTAAATGCCAAAAATGAAATAAAACAAAAATAAGAAAAAATGTATGTGAATTTTCATATATTGTCTAGATGGTAAAAGACTAACTACAAAAAAGGGAAGATAATTGGGAACCAGCAGTTAGCGTAATGGCTATGTCGCTGGACTCCCACGTAGTCGACTGCGGTTCATGTCCCAGACCCGGTGGCTTAAAACTCACGCCGGGCGCGTGTGCGTGCGTGCCCAAGATCCCGAGAGGAGAATGGAGGAGAAGGGATTGCGGCGTGACCATCCCCCCTGGGGGGTGATTTCTTGCTTTCTGTCTCTATGTCTGTCTCTGTCTGTCTGGCGAGTGCACGCGCCCTACAGTGAAAATCTCTCCAAAAAAAAAAAAATAAAGATAAAAAAAAGGGAAGATAATGAAAAAATTGTTGATAAAATTAAATAAAAATAAAAAATGTTCTTATATCAAAATATAACTCAATGAATAAAAAATAGATTGGATGTGCATAGGTCTGGGATGGTTAGGGGCTATGAATAGTGACTGGTAATACATACAGAGTTTCTTCTTGGGATGAATATATGTTCTAAAATTGGCTGTGAAACAGCTGCTTAATTCTGTTAGCATATTAAAACCTGTACACTTTAAATGAACGGGTAAACTATATGGTATGTGAGTTATATCTCAATAAAGTTTTTGTAAGAATACAATATAACAAAATAAAATGCAAATAACCAATTAAGAAATATTTACTATAGAAATGATAATGTGCTGATATTTAATATATAAAGAAGTCATTCAAATAATAGGAAAAATGTTCAGACTTCAATAGGACAATGGGCAAACAGCACAAATGAGAAATTTAAAGATTAAAAGGAATAATGATAAAAATAATTTTAGGCTTCATCTATAATAAAATAATAAAAACAAAAACTAGATTCAATTTTTCATCTATCAAGTTACCAAGAATAAAAAAAGTGAAAATAATATATTGTGGTTAGGGTACCTATTATGTAATAGGTATTCTTACTCACTATGTAAGGTGGTATAAATTAATATAATCTTTCTGGAATGCAAATTGGGATATACATCAAAGTCTTAAATGTGTTATTACCCTTTTAGTACTAATTCTTACTGAAAGAATATGTACAAAGAAAATGACATGGGGACCAGCAGTTGGCTTAACGGCTATGGCACTGGACTCCCATGTAGTCAACCACAGCTTGAGTCCCAGACCCAGTGGTTTAAACTCACGCCGGGCACGTGTGTGTGTGTGTGTGTGTGTGTGCCAAAGATCCTGAGAAGAGAATGGAGGAGAAGGGACTGTGGCATGGCCATCCCCCTGAGGGGGTGATTTTTTGCTTTCTGTCTCTTTCTGTCTTTCTGGTGAGTGCACACGTCCTATAGCAAAAACCCCTATCAAAAAAAAAAAAAAAGAGGGAACCAGCAGTTAGCGTAAT